ACCCCCTCCCCAACCAGGGGACAGCAAAGACAAAGTGCTTGTCAGCAGTGCACTCTGGGAAGAGAAGGGCACATCTGGATTTGTACATTTCCATTAAGGATGGGAAGGTGCCTGGGATAGTATGGAAAGGCCTACCTTCCAGCAGATAGAAGCAAGAGGATGTGTTTGGGTCCACACAGCATCCCTTGGGCAGGCAGTGGGCTGGAGAAATCCTCTCTGGAGCACAGGCCACCCGATGGCTCCTGGGAAGACCAAATTGGATCCATCAGCACAGCTATGTAGCTCATTACCAGCTCTCAAACCTATTCACTCACCCTCCTTTGATTTGTAGGGATAATAAGGGCAGGACACCACAATCTCCCCTCTTGGGCCATCATTGGGAATGTACACCATCTTCACAGTGTAGTGTTGGTCCTGCAAGGAAAAAAAAAGATGCATTTGTGATGGCAACATCTGCAGATAGCCAACCCCACTTCCAGATCTGAAAGTACCCAGGAACTACCAGAAGGGCTGTTCAGTAGAACAGTAGACAGTTTACAGCAAAGACTTCAACCCACATCTTGAAGGGGAAGATCTTCAGTGTTAGTTTAGCCCCCCCTCCCATCCTATTTTAAAGAGGAAATGCTCATAAAGATATTCCACAATGAGCATGACCAAGAGTAAATTGCATTTTGGAGTAAATCCACACTCATCTGACAGGTCATCCCATCTGAAACTCCTACTGAAATGCATTGTCACATGAAGTTCACACATTTTCTTCATGTCTGACAGATAGCAGGCTGGCTATAACATAGAATTCCAGCCAGTCTGTTCCAGACTTCTTATGGTTTAATTGATTTGTACCTAGATAGGTGCATACACTGTAGTAATTAGAAAAGTAGAGCACCTTCTTTTTTACAAAATGAGAAGGCACAAAAGGAAGAAATGCTTGTGGTACTCCATGCTTTTAATGGGAAGAAAAAGATCTGGAGCCTGGCACTACTTTATATAGGACAAGCCAAGCAGGAAAAGCTATCATAAAACATGGAAAGTAAACAGAACTACATTGAGTTGAAAACTACAAAAATATTGAAGTGCTTGTTGAGTCACAGCATGCAGAGACCTCTATTAAAATGCACTGTAGCTAGCCCACCTGAAGCTCAGGCCTGTCACTTAACACAAGAGCACAAAGTCATTAGCACTTCAAGTATGGTAGTTATGACAAATGTTAACTAACCCTTTTGACACCATATTATACCAGTAAGGTAAAGAACGCAGATGTTTCCTGCCCAGTTTTAATAGGTTTAAGTAACTCAAGCAGTCATTCTACTACAGTTATTAGAAAACTCAGTATTGTCAGGAGCCTCAAATGTATAATATTTTGAAACTTCACAAAAGTCCATACTTCTGTACCAAAATAGATTGGGATCTCTCCAGCAAGGAGTCAATACATTTTGTATTTTATTTGCCCTTTCTGTGAATCATTACACAAAGGCTTGTGTTTAACAGTTATAAACGTTCAACTGCTTGACTTGAATGACAAACAATTAGAGCAACTTTAGTTTAAACTAAAATTAGAAGTGGGCAACTAGAAAATGACAGACTCTTGATGACTTGACAGGCCAAATTAACACCTGTGATCTCAACCAAGTTCTTGTAGACCACTGGCTTACAATCCTACCAATATACATTTGTTCAGACCAAGTCTTACTTTCAGGCATATGGTAAAATTAGAAATGGAAGGCGTGCTATTTGCTCATAGCACAGGAAAGTGTGCTAGATACTCAGCCTCACCACAAGCCAAACATGGCATCCAGTGTACAGGATGGTCAGGGTGTTCAGGTGCCACCCTTCAGTCACAGAGTATCCACAGGATGGAGTGTCCAGCACAGACACCAGGCTGCCAGAGGAACCTGCACAGGGTACACAAGAATACAATTTATCTTTGCAGGTGCAAAAATCAGTATAGTGCCAATGCAGTGCATACATAATAGCACACTGGATAGAGGCAACTGTATCATTTCAAGGTGCTTCTCACATCATAAGGAAGCTCCCAACCCTAAATCAACGATGCAATGCTGTAACCCACAATGTCAAGGGAGCACTGGAACTGTTCAAAATGCCATGTCAAGCCCCCTGTTCCATGAGTGGCCAACAAGCAGCAGCAGTCTTGCTAGGGTACAGCCTTCTGCCTTACCAGGGACCAGCAGTAAAAGCCCTTCCCCAGTCACTCACTCTGAACCTTGATCTCCTCCAGGGGGCCAGCAGGCAGGGTCACAGTCATGCACACCTCACTGCAGGAGATGGTCAGGCCTCTGGGAGGTGGGGGTGGAGGGACAACTGGAACATGGCAGGACACTGTCAGTCGCCCATCTCTTCCGCTCTTCGTCATAGTATCTCACTGTCAGGGAGTAGTGTTGCCGCTGGTTCTTCCTCTGTGGTGGGGAACAGGGTTGCAGGTTAAAAGCACTGATGTAGAGCTGTTTGGAGCAACTAGGGCACTATTGCTTTCGCACAAGCTCCCAGGGTGTCCAAACCTAGAACTTCCCCTTACCCAGGTCCTGATGTAACACCCTTTGTAGGAAGCCACCAGCACCAGCCAGTTCCTGGTGGTCCGCACCTTGTGCCCACATTTCTTTGGGAGACTGTTGACCGAAAGAGAAGCCATTTTGTCTGTGTAAATGTGGAATGTTGGAAACAGACACGCAAGTGGCCTTTCACAGCAGCTCTGTACCCCTTGCTGAAATGGGATCAGGAGGTAGATGAAACACCTGGACCTCCCCTTTGGTCTCACTAGGGGTGAGAGAGATATTTTCCTCAATGCCATACAGGTGAGGTTTCGCCCTCTAGTCCTCCACACTTGCCCATACGGATCCTTGTCTAGTTCAAGGAAAGCTACATGAAGTTCTTGAAGGTTATTTTCTGTTGAATTACATTCTCCAACATGAGTGGGAACTGAAAAATCAATTCAAATACAAATCCCTAGTTACAGGGTCAGAGAGCTTGTATTTCTTTAGTAATGTTCTTCCCATAATTTTGTATTGCTCTTACCTTGCAGTGTTGCAAGTCTTATTGTGAAAGAAAAGAAAATTATGAGTGATCCAATTTGGCTGCAAGTAAGGCTCCTGCTCAACCCAGATCATAAGAGCAATGACCTAGGTCATCACACCCTTTATGGATCATATTGATCTTCCACTTGTGCATTCCATATCATGACTTGTGTCCATGGCTCCATATTAGATTCTATATGAATGTAATGCTGACACCTCCTACATGGGAGAAACAGGAATTTCAATCCCCCCTAATCCAATTAACTGTATAAAAAGTAGCAGATATTTTACCAAGTAGCAAGAATGGGAATGTAGATTGCTCCCGACTATAGATTTAGGAAATGTGAAGGTTGGTCACATGATTGTCCCTTTAATTTAAAAGGGAAGCCATGTTTGAAGTTGGTGTTAAACCAGGTTCCCCTCCAGGTTTGTGACACTGGGTCTTTGTGTAGAAATATCCCTCTGCCTGATGCACAGGGTTATTTGGTTTGAGAGCCTTTTCCTGTGCTTTTGAGGCAGGCAGTTTCAGAGCAGTCATACACTATTTCATTCAGTTTAAAGGTCAGATAGTGAGGGAACAGGACAGGTCTCCTAGACTAAGGATGGGT